ACGTCACAGCATCTGCTTGTTCGTGCGTCAGGAACTGACATTCACGTCACAGCATCTGCTTGTTCGTGCGTCAGGGACTGACATTCACGTCACAGCATCTGCTTGTTCGTGCGTCAGGGACTGACATTCACGCCACAGCATCTGCTTGTTCGTGCGTCAGGGACTGACATTCACGTCACAGCATCTGCTTGTTCGTGCGTCAGGGACTGACATTCACGTCACAGCATCTGCTTGTTCGTGCGTCAGGGACTGACATTCACGTCACAGCATCTGCTTGTTCGTGCGTCAGGGACTGACATTCACGTCACAGCATCTGCTTGTTCGTGCGTCAGGGACTGACATTCACGTCACAGCATCTGCTTGTTCGTGCGTCAGGAACTGACATTCACGTCACAGCATCTGCTTGTTCGTGCGTCAGGACTGACATTCACGTCACAGCATCTGCTTGTTCGTGCGTCAGGAACTGACATTCACGTCACAGCATCTGCTTGTTCGTGCGTCAGGGACTGACATTCACGTCACAGCATCTGCTTGTTCGTGCGTCAGGGACTGACATTCACGTCACAGCATCTGCTTGTTCGTGCGTCAGGGACTGACATTCACGTCACAGCATCTGCTTGTTCGTGCGTCAGGAACTGACATTGACGTCACAGCATCTGCTTGTTCGTGCGTCAGGGACTGACATTCACGTCACAGCATCTGCTTGTTCGTGCGTCAGGAACTGACATTGACGTCACAGCATCTGCTTGTTCGTGCGTCAGGGACTGACATTCACGTCACAGCATCTGCTTGTTCGTGCGTCAGGGACTGACATTCACGTCACAGCATCTGCTTGTTCGTGCGTCAGGGACTGACATTCACGCCACAGCACCGTCAAACTCTGGCACTGAGGATATTGCAATAGTTTCCTGGTTATGAGAGACGACGCTTCTCTCTGGTGGAGACAGAGAGCAAAATGGAAGTTGTTGATGACGGGTCGAGAGAACCAACACGTTGATGATTGAATCACCAAGGAACTCAGTGGCAATAAAGTCACTTCGTCCGACTTTTTTGAGTTTACCCTGGGTAGTTTACGCTGTGTATCATAACGATACTTAGGTGTACCTGTGCCTAAGTAAAGTTACTAATGAAGGGGAGGATTAATCCACTTCATTGCATCAAGGACTTCTCCCCGGCATCAAGGACTTCTCTCCGGCATCAAGGATTCTACCTTGAGAAGTGTATATTCCCATTGTTTCGCTAGCTGGTCTTAGCAAGGTTGGTGGTTGTGTCCAGGACTCTCTCTCTCTCTCTCTCTCTCTCTCTTTTTTTTTTTTTTTTTTTTTTACACAGGGTTTGACAAGGTTAAGGATCCCTAGCTTTATTGACAAGCTATTTACAGGTTAAGGATTCCTAACTTTATTGACAAGCTATTTACAGGTTAAGGATTCCTAACTTTATTGGCAAGCTAAGAGCTGTTACCTACATCAGCTCATTTGAAAGCATTTTTATTGTTATGAGACATACAAGTAGGGAACAGGATGAAGTTGGAGCCATCTGTGGGCCAGCATTTTCATTTGATCAACTGACTTTATCTCGTTGACATCATTATGCTGTACAAATGTGTTCCATAGTCGAGTCATCCTGGGTATGTATGATCTCAGATGGAGTGATGTTCTGGAGAAGGGTACATCCAGAGTGAAGTTGCTGCTGGCTGCCCGTCTTGTGGCATAAAAGCTTGCTTCACACTGTCCTCGAAGTGGATCCAAGTGTGGTATTTTGACAATATTGGCCTTGTACATAACAGTAAGGCCACCCACATCACTCCTATGTTGAAGGCTCTGCTGAAATGACAGATCTATCCAGGATGGGTCCAGGCGAGAGATGAGACGTCTTGCTCTGTTCTCTACTCTGTCAAGCAGTCGCAGATGAGAGGGGGGGCAGGCAAACCAAGAAAGTGGAGCATACTCAAGGTGTGAGCGTACTTGTGCCTCTCTCTCTCTCTCTCTCTCTCTCTCTCTCTCTCTCTTTCTCCGTCAGTGTTCATAATATTTTTTCACTGCAGCTGAAAACAAGAAATACAACCTGGTGTTTGCTCTTTCTCTGACATTTTACTTCCCTCATCAGGAACAATTCTCTCACAACACTGCCACTGTTGTTCCCGTCACACACATTTCCCCAATATATATATAAAAAAAATCCTCATTTTCGTCAGAGGTTCAAGCCAAACTTGTATTGCACTTTGGCTTCAAATTATCTATTTTGGATTCAGCTCTCGATATCTGTCGTATTCAATCTGTGTGTGTGTGTGTGTGTGTAATATATATTTTATATATATATATATATATATATATATATATATATGTGTGTGTGTGTGTGTGTTATAATATATATATATGTATATATATATAAATTACCCTTCATTAATACACTGAATTCTCTTTTGGGGAACAGCTGATGAACTGTCGTGTACAGGACTCTGGTATCTACACTGCCAAGGCTACAGACGAGGCTGGTGCCGCCGCTACTTGCTCTGCTCAGCTCCTGGTCCAGGAATGTAAGCAACTGAAAAATTTGCATACGTATCTTTAAGAGTTTAGACAGATGTGTTATTATGCACTTCGTTTATATGGATCGTTAATACAGAAATTGATTTTCACTTTAATTCAGAGCTTTTAAGAATGCATTTAAGATATGTATTTTAGTTTAGATATTTTTTTAGCTCAGATATCATTTTTAGTCCAAATATCTTTTTTTTTACCTCAAATATCTTTTTTTAGTTCTGATATCTTTTTTTTTGTCCTGGATGGGGCCCACAACAGTCACCTTATACCTAACACACAGTAACACTAGGTACCTGTGTGTTAGGTACCTAGTGTTACTGTTGCTTGTGCAGGGCAGCTGGGGTGTAAGGAAACTTATCCAAAACAACCACAGGGGAAGTTGAATGATAGCTCTAGGCCTTCCATGTTGCAGTCGACACATCTTCAGCAATGTTGCACAAATGAGTAGGAAGTCCAGATAGGGTCGTTCAAGAAACAGTCTCTAGCTAGAGTGACCTTGAACGAGTTTTCCTGGACTTCCTACGCATTTCTGCAACGCTGCAAGCTCCTGATGATGTGTTGATTGTAACACGAAAGGCCTAGAGCTATCGTTCAACTCCCCCTGTGGTTCTTTTACATTTTATATCGCTTGTTCGCGATTATTGCACACATATATATATATATATATATATATATATATATATATATATATATATGCAGTGGAACCTCAAATATCGAACTTTCTTCGGTCCAGAAGGCTGTTCGAGTGCCTTTACCGAATGAATTTATTCCCATCAGGAATACTGTAAATTAGATTAGTATATATATATATATATATATAATGGAGGAGGGGTGTTAATGTTGCAGTTTAAAAACTGTAGTGTAAAGCACCCTTCTGGCAAGACAGTGATGGAGTGAATGATGGTGAAAGTTTTTCTTTTTCGGGCCACCCTGCCTTGGTGGGAATCGGCCAGTGTGATTATTACAACCTAGGATTTCAAATGGCCTGTTATCCCAGGTGTAATGGGAGCAAATAAACACAGTAGAAAAGTTTAGACTTATATTATCCTTCACCAATTTATAACAGCAATATGTACACTATGTACAGTGATAAATATAGTGCACTCCACGGTAAGCAAGGCAGAAATAGAAGCCACAAGATAGCAGACCGTGCTTCAACCAGCTCTAGAATGGGAATGACAAGGGCAGACAGGAGAGCGGTATCCACATAACCTCTGCGATTGTCAATCCCACCTTCTTATTGGCTAGAACCTGGTCACTAGTTGAACGATGGGGCCCCATCATCAACTCTTAGCAACCTGGTTCGCTGGTTGGGGGAGATAGCCTGTAAATGAGGGTGTGTCCATGCGCCGAATAAAGGTTACGTACTCTTTGCATGCCACAGTGATTATAATAATAAATAATATATATATATATATATATATATATATATAATATATATATATATATATATATATATATATATATATATATATAATGCATGTGCGTGTGTGTGTTAAAGTTCCCGGTTCGGGGAAGATCTTGGGGGTTATATTGTCTGGGATCTTCCATTAATCTTAGCCCGGGGAAGATTACTGCCTCATGTCTCTCAGTGTCTCAGAGGTGATCTTGAAGACATTAAAAGTTTGAGGAGACAAGAGAGAGATTGTGTGTATAGTATTAGTTCTGTATCTGTCACTCTCTCTCACTCACTCACTTCTCCCCACAGTGACGGAGGAAGAAAGGGCTCGTAGAATATCGGAGAAGTCTCCTTTCTTCCTGGTCAGGATGAAGCCGACGGAGGTCATCGAGAACACCAATCTCTCCTACACCATCCACGTCAAGGGAGAACCCATGCCTGACGTCCAGTTGTGAGTATACTCCTCCTTCATGCACCTCCACCCTTCTCTCTCTCTTTTTCTCTCTCTTTTATTTCAAAAGAAACAGGGTTTTACAAGGTTAGGTTTAGGATTTCTAACTTTTATCTACAGGCTAAGAGCGGTTACCTACATCATCTCATTTAAAAGTCTCTCTCTCTCTCTCTCTCTCTCTCTCTCTCTCTCTCTCTCTCTTCTCTCTCTCTCTCTCTCTCTCTCTCTCTCTCTCTCTCTCTCTCTCTCTCTCTCTAGCCAAGGTTCTTGCTCAGTGTATATACACCTATAAGTGTATATTTCTGTATATATATCTAGAAGTGTGTACATCTCTGTATATATACCTAGGAGTATGTATATACATCTAGAAGTGTGTATCTCTATGTATATACACGTAGAGATGTGTATACATACGTGTACCTCTACAGGTATGTAGCTGTGTTTATACACCGGGTGGTATATTTCAGTTTATATACAGAGAGGTGTATATATATATATATATTTCAGTATATATACATCAAAAGGTGTGTATCACTCATTGTATATACATCCATGAGTGTGTGTATATAGACGTGTGCGTCTCTTTCAGTTTATATTTTCCAAAAAA